GAGATTTTACTTTTCTATTTCTAGGTAGTCTGGCCAAAGGTTTATCTATTTTATTTATTTTTTTCAAAAAGCCAACTCCTTGTTTCATTAATTTTCTGAATGATTCTTTTGTTTTCAGTTTCATTAATCTCTGATTTAATTTTGGATATTTCTTTTCTTCTGCTGGGTTTCGGGTTAGATTGTTCTTCTTTTTCCAATTCTGTCTGATGGCTTGTGAGTTTGTTGATGCACTGTCTTTCTGTTTTTCTAATGTAGGCATCTAAAACAATACATTTTCCTCTCAGGACTGCTTTTGCTGTATCCCACAGGTTTTGGTAGCTTGTGTCTTCATTGTTGTTGTGTTCAAGGCAGTTGAAGGCCTTGATGATTTCCTCTTTTATTTCTTCCTGCACCCAGCTGTCATTCAACAGAAGGTTGTTTAATTTCCATGCCTTTGTGTGGAAAGAACATTTTTGTTGGAGTTGAGTTCCACCTTTAGTGCCTTGTGGTCTGAGAAGATGCAAGGTAGAATTTCAATTCTTTTGATTCTGTTGAGGTTTGTTTTGTGTCCTAGGATATGATCAATTTTGGAGAATGTTCCATGGGGCAATGAGAAGAATGTATATTCTTTATCTTTGGGATGGAGTGTTCTATATGCATCTATCAAGCACAGTTGTTCTAGGGTCTCATTTAAGTCCTTTATATTATATCTTTGTTTAATTTCTATTTAGAGGATCTGTCCAGTTCTATAAGAGGAGTGATAAAGTCCCCTGTTATTATGCTATTACAGGATATCATAGTACTCAGACTGAGTAAGGTCTGTTTCAAGAATCTGGGAGCATTTAAATTGGGTGCATCCATATTTAGAATTGAAACGTCTTCTTGTTGTGTTTTTCCCTTGACCAATATAAAGTGTCCATCATTGTCTTTTTTGACTTTAGTTGCTTTAAATCCACATGTATCTGAAAATAAGATTGCAACTCCTCATTTCTTCTGAATTCCGTTTGCCTGAAAAATTGTCTTCTAACCCTTAACTAAGAGTTTTAATTTGTCTTTTGAAGCTAGGTGTGTTTCCTGCAGACAGCAAATCGATGGCTTATGTTTTTTTCATCCAGTCAGCCCATCTGTGCCTCTTCAGTGGGGAATTCTAGCCATTAACATTTATTGAGATAATCGATAAGTGTGGTAGTGTTCTATTCATCTTATTTTGTGAGCGTCCGTTCTTAGTTTTATCTTTTGCATCAGTGTGGAAGTTAGGTTCTGTCCTTTAATTTCTGAGATCTTACTTTGCTATTGATCCGTTGTGATGGTCAGTGTGTAGAATAGGTTGAAGTATTTCCTGTAGAGCTGGTCTTGTGGCGAATTTCCTCAATGTTTGTATATCAGTAAATGATTTGATTTCTCCATCAATTTTAAAGCTCAGCTTAGCAGGATATAGAATTCTGGGCTGGGAATTGTTCTGTTTAAGTAGATTAAAGGTAGGTGACCACTGTCTTCCTGCTTGGAAAGTTTCATTAGAGAAGTCTGCAGTCACCCTGATGGATTTGCCCCTGTAGGTCAACTGGTGCTTACTCCTGGCAGCTTGAAGAATCTTTTCTTTTGTCTTGACTTTGGACAGGTTCATCACAATGTGTCTTGGAGAAGCTCTCTTAGAGTTGAGGTGACCTGGGGTCTGACATCCCTCTGAAAGGAGTGTGTCAAGATCTTTGGTGATATTTGGGAAATTTTCATTTAAAATATTCTCTAGAACGGCTTCCATTCTCCTGGGGCATTCTTCTTCCACTTCTGGGATACCTGTAACTTGTATATTTGAATGCTTCATAAAGTCCCATAATTCTGTCAGTGAACGTTCTACTTTCTCTCTCTTCTTTTCTGCCTCTTTAACTATCTGAATTATCTTAAGAGCTTTATCCTCTCCCTCTGACATTCTTTCTTCTGCATGGTCTAATCTCTTGTTGATACTTTCTATTGCATCTTTAAGCTCCCTAATTGACTACTTCAGTTCCCGCAGCTCTGCTGTATCCTTTCTATATTCTTCATATCGTTCATCTCTTATTTGATTCTGTTTTTGGACTTCCTTTTGGTTATTTTCCACTTTACCAGCAGTTTCCATCATTGTTTCCATCATTTCCTTCATTGTTTTCATGATCTGTATTCTAAATTCCCTTTCTGTCATTTCTAACTTTTCTTTATAGGTGGAGTCCTCTGTAGTAGCTGCCTCATGTCCCTTGTGGGGGATGCTCTGGACTGGTTTTTCATGTTGCCAGGAGTTTTCTGCTGAATTTTCCTCATGAGTGATTTCTTTCACCTGTTTCTTTGTCCTAATTTTCCTTTTACTTCCTATTGCTCTTCAAGTTGCTGTGCCCCTGGACTAGGGTTTTGATGAGTCCTTTTGGTACAGGACCAGAAGGATAAGAAGATTGAAGAGCAAGAAGGGAAAAAAGGAACAAAAAAGAAAAAAGAGAAAAGAGGGGGATGGGTAAAAGGGAATATTGACAAAAAGAAGAGAGGCACAGAAGGAGGGAGACAGGAGCAATATAGGTGTACGGTAGGGTACTTTGACCCAACCTTAAAAAACCCCCCAACCTCTGGGGGTGTCAGGTTGGGTGGTTCCCTTGAGGTCAGCAGCTCTTTGTTAGCGTGTTTGGACATAGTACCCCACCTTCACCAAATAGAGAGGAAAGACACAAATGCTATAAATCAAACCAAAACAACCAAACAGAAAACTTTATGGGATAAAATTGGGGGAAATACCAAATAATAGGGGTAGAAATACTAGGAAAAATGAAGTTCTAGTTGTTAAAGAAGGCAACAGTGGAAATTTATGTTTAAACTAGAAAAATGAAAGAAAAAAAAAGAAAGGACAAATGTTGAAATTAAGAAAAAAACAAAAAAACAAAACCAAAAAACAAAGCAGTACATATATATTGCTGGATATTTTCTGGGCAACAGGTGATCTTCTGGTGTATGAGATGGTAATCACAATGCTAATACGGCCTCATGAGATGGGAGGCCTCTGCTGAGTTCTCAAACCCCAGAGGGTAGGCAGCCTAAATCTCTCTTCAGCCTGCTTAAAAGGCACTTTAACCTGCTAACCTTGGCTAAGCAGAAGCTTTCCCAGGAAAGCACTTGTCACTGGGATCACTCCCAAAGAGGTTATCCACCAGTCTTACTCTATACCCCTACGCTAAGGGCCAGGGCTATAAGGTGTCCCTTATAGATAGGGTGACCAGATGTCCCACTTTTTAACACTTTGTCCCGTGTCCCGCTGCATTTTAAAAAAGTCCCAACTTTTGGAAAGAATGCACGAACAGGTGGGACAACAGGAAGGGAATATACGGTTTTTGGCTACCATGTGGCTATTTTGCCAGAATATGAGTTTTATATTATTTTTGTTAATTTTATAATGTTAAACTGTAATAATAACAAATAATTGTTGAGAAGTGATTATTGAGAACTGCTTATCAAAGTTTGCACTGTTGTCAGGCCCCCCCCCCCCCCCCCCCGCCATGTTGTCCCACTTTACCAGTGTTAAAATCTGGTCACCCTACTTAGAGACCTATAAGAGTCCCTGGCTTTAGGCTGCTCAGTCAGTAGATTACTTGCTCCTGCCTGATCCTTGCTCTGTGACCCTGAGCGGGGAGCTTGCTGGGGCAGTTCTCCCACAATGGCTCAGCACAGCCCACAGTCAAACACTGTTAGCTCCGTGTCACTCAGCGGCTCAATCTGGGGCCCTAGACAACACTTAAAGTCCTCTGCAGTCTTGCCCAAGTTCTCCCAAGGTAGTTCAACTGAGTGCCAAGTCCAAAAAAAACCCCAAACAGCTCACAGGGAAGGCCTTTCCAGTTTGCAGTCTCACTGCTGCTGTGCTTACAGCTGCTGGTGGGATTAGACTGAACAAACCATGCAACCACTTGCCTGTTCTCCACTGCTTTTGTCCTCCTCATGGGGTCCAGAAGTCTTACGTTGACTCCCTGTGTCCCCAAAGGGATGTTTCTGGGAAGATTCCACCAGCCAGAGATGCCTGAAGTCTTCTCTTCCCAGACTCACTGTGCCCAGTTGCAAGGAAGCTGTTACTTGGCCGCCATCTTGCTCCTCCCTCCCTGGGGTCCATTTTTGTACTTGGATGATGTGTTTCTTATTCTGGTGAGCAAGGCGGCCTGAGGTTTTACTGGATAGAACTTTGGAAATCCAAACTCAGTCACCATAAAAAGCCACTGCCACCTGGTCAGTCAAGGGTAAGGTGATTTCTATGACACCTTGTATTTTTTACCGACTGAGGAGTCCTTGTTAAATCTTTTTTTTATAGTGCTCAAATCAAAAAGCAGGGCTGTGGAGGTCAGGAGAAACAAAGAGGAAGCGTAGGGAATGCAGAGGGAAAGACATTTCAGAAGTATTGATTGACTCCAATGTGATGATCTTCTCCTACTCAGGTCTGGGATTATAAGTGTCTTATAGACCTAGAGGTCAGGGGCACATGCTCGAGTGAGGGAATCTGGTGAGGGGCAAGGGCAGTGGTCTGCGCAGGGATTGTAACACTTTGCCTTCTATTTTCATACAGCTCTTCAACGTAAGGCTGCCTTTTACATTTAAGAATGGTTGGGAAAAAATCAAAAGAAGCATATTGTGTGTGACACATGAAAATTCCATGAAATGCAAATTTCACTGTCTATAAAAAGTTCTGCCTGTGGCCACATTTGCGCTGCACAGAGGGCAGGGTTAAGTAGTTGTGACAGAGGCTATAGGTGACTTGTTACAGAAAGTTCGCTGACACTTTGACTATCCTCTGTGTCTGGTCTCACTTCTGCCTCTCTTGCCACCACCATCAGCATCTCAGCAGGTAACAGCAGTTCAACTACAAGCTGGGAGTGCTGTTGGTACCTTCTAAGACTTCACCAGGCCTGGATGGTTCTCATAACCCTGTCAGCTCAGTGTGGGAAGCTCCTGTCACAGATGAGCTTTTAGGCTCATGTATCCCTTCTCTTTCAGTGTGCAAATTTAAGGCTCACAAGCGGTGTGCGGTACGTGCAACCAATAACTGCAAGTGGACCACGCTGGCCTCAATTGGGAAGGATATCATCGAGGACGCAGATGGGGTATATCAGGGGACCCTGCCCTCCCCCTGCTATTTCATTCAAGATGGTTACCCAGAGAGCAGGTGTCACATGGGCAGTATGTGGGGCCCCTTTGTGGTGGTTATGCCTCTGGCACTTCCCAGGCCTTCCTTGTTCTCCGCACACTGCGCTTGTTGGGAAGAATGTCTGGTCTGGGTTCACAGAGGGCATTTCAGGCCCAGCTGGCCTTGAGGCCAGAGCTCTGGAAGCATCCTCAGCACATGTCTCTGCTTGGTCACAGATTGCCATGCCCCACCAGTGGCTAGAAGGAAACCTGCCTGTGAGTGCCAAGTGCACAGTGTGTGATAAGACCTGTGGCAGTGTGTTGCGCCTGCAGGACTGGCGCTGCCTCTGGTGCAAGGCCATGGTGAGTGTGAACCCTGCACCTGAGCTGGGGTGGCCTGCTCCCTACGGTCCCTGCGGTCTTGTACCTCTATGTCCTGTGTGGGGCTTCACCTTCTGAATCCTGGTCCATTTGCCCAAGAGACCCTTCTAGCTCTGTGAATCTGGGCTTTGGACTGTCTGGTGACTTGACCTTGTCTTCTTTGGTCATTCTCATTAGTGACTTGTTTTTATGTGTGTGTGTATATTTCTTACTCTTGAATTTAGTCTTGCATTTTAGACACATGCAGATGTTTGTCTTTATGACACCTGTCATATCTTCTTATAGCACCATAGCCAGGTTATACCAGGGTCATTTGGGGCATATCACTGGTGTGTGCAAGCAGGAAAGCAGTAGAGGTTTTTCCAAGAGAGGTTCACTGTGGTGCAGTCTTCACAGCAGCCACAGCTACATGTGGGAAGGAGGAAGAGCAATGGTGTTGCCTGTGGGGCCCCTCTTAGGTTGTGGGTGTGGCCATTGCTCCATTGCGGCTGGCAGAGGTGAGGGAGCCTCCATGCACTCCCTGCTGTGGCTGTTGTTGGGAGATGGGTGCTGCAGCTGCCTAATGAGAACTCAGGAGGGGGCCTGGCCACATGAAGGCACCTGCCCCAAAAGTCTGAATTCAGTTCTGAGAGTTAATGTTGCTGTGCCTGGCCGGGGCTGGGCCAGGATTACAGCTCACACAGGGTGGGTGGTGACTGGCTCCTACCTGGTGCTTCTGTGTCATGCCTTCTCAAGGGCAAAGCCAGGACACAGGTGAATGCAGGTCAGCTCATCAGCTACAGGGCAGGGGGAGTTGGGTCCATGTGAGTGTGACCCTGGTGGCCTGTGGGGGACCTTGGTGAATGAGGCCAGCTCATCAGCTACAGGGCAGGGGGAGTTGGGTCCATGTGAGTGCGACCCTGGTGGCCTGTGGAGGACCTTGGTGGCACATGGAGTCTTGTTTCAGGTGCACACGTCGTGTAAGGAATCCTTGCAGACCAAGTGCCCACTGGGCCTGTGCAAAGTGTCAGTCATCCCCCCCACAGCACTCAACAGCATCGACTCTGACGGTGGGTACTGTGCTCCTGTCCCCTCACCCACGCTGCATGTCTCCTGTGCCTCCTTCGTACTTTCTCTTCTCTCCTGCTGGAGACTTGGTTAGGTTGGTGTGGTGTGGTCAGCCAACAGGTCAGGCACTGCCACAGGGGTGGGGACCCATGTGGAGGTAGTAGACAGTGTCCTGACTTTAGGGTGTTGACATCAGTCACATTTGAGGCCTGAAGCTGGTCCTTGGAGCTGAAGGAGCCATTGGCTGTTAAGTGGACAGAGTCTAAGCCAGTGGTCCTCAAACTTTTTAAACAGGGGGTCAGTTCACTGTCCCTCAGACCGTTGGAGGGCCGGACTGCGGGCCCCGGGTTGAGCCTGCTCAGCAGGACAGGCAGCGGTGGCAAAAACATTTGTCAGGCCACATGTAGCCCATGGGCCATAGTTTGAGGACCCCTGGTCTAAGCTTTCTCTGACTCCTGTGAGCCAGAGAGTCTGGGCCTATCTTCATCTGGCAGATGCTAGCCTGCTGCCTTGTAGTTGCTGTCACCACTGCTGGGACACATGTCATATGTTGACAAGTACTGGTAGAAGGGAGATGCTGGGGTATGTGGCTGAGGGGAATCAAGTTCTACCAGATGAAGGGTCAGAGGAGAGAGCAGTGAAGTGGAACCTGGACTCCTCGTCACAGTTGGGGAGTGGCCCTGTGGACTTGTGTTCACTCGTCTCTTATTGAGTTGTGGGGATGGGTACATGTCAGGTGTATATCCCTTGGGGTGTCTGGGCTGCTTCTTATATCAGCACTGCCTCTCAGCTTATATTTTCTCTGTCCTATTCATTCTTACATCTAGGGTTCTGGAAGGCCAGCTGTCCTCCATCTTGTACAAGCCCGTTGTTGGTTTTTGTCAATTCAAAGAGTGGGGACAACCAGGGAGTGAAGTTCCTCAGAAGATTCAAACAGCTACTGAATCCTGCCCAGGTCTTTGACCTCATGAATGGAGGACCACACCTTGGGTAGGAAGCTTGTAAAATCTATTTTTCATGGAGTTCTAAAAATTTTGAGGATAATGTGTACTTATGAAAAAAACAACAAAGACTCAGAAATTTTTAAATAGGAAAAAAGGCCAGGTGCAGTGGCTAATGCCTGTAATCTTAGCACTTTGAGAGGCAGAGGTGGGAGGATCACTTGCAGCCCTGAATTGAAGACCATTCTAAGCAGTGTACTGAGACATCTTTTCCACAAAAAAGGGGAAAAGTTCGCCAAGCATTGTGGCTTATATCTGTAGTCCCAGCTACTTGGGAGGCTGAGGCAGGAGGATTGCTTGAGGAGTTTGAGGTTGTTATGGCTGTGATGGTGCCATAGCTTTCTAGCTTGTGCCACAGAATGAGACCCTGTCTTTAAATAAGAAAAAGGTGGGGAAAAGAAAAGAATGAAGAAAGGAAGGAAAGAAGAAAAAGAGGAGGAAGAGGAAAGGAGGAAGGGAGAGGAAAGTAAATGAGGAAGAAAGGAAGAAAGGTTGAGCCACCCCTTCCCCACTTTGCCCTTCCAGAGGTACCTACTTTTAGTTAGCAGAAGTGCATGTTCTCCAGTGTGCACGCACGCACGCACACATACACACACGCACACATGGACACATGGAGACATACACCAAATAGGATCCTGCTTTACCTGGTATTGGGCAGGTGCTTTCTGTGTGTGTCAGCCTATAGCACTGTGGGTATGTTTCGTGTCAGTATCTGCAGGTCTGCCACGTTCTTTGTAGGCTGGTCAGTAGTGAGGAAGCAGCTTTCCTCCATGAGGCCAAAGGGGAGTGTGTTACATTGAGACATGAGGTGGTTGCTTGGGTGCTTGGTGCCATGAGGTAGGGGACATGCTGGGGCGGCAGCTTGGGGCAGAGGGATTAAGCTGTTCATTGGCTCCCTGGGAAGTTGACATGGGTTCTCTCTAGTTTCATACTTCTGTACATTTGTAGAAAACATTTGCTTCTGTGAATTTTGTCATTTGAACTGATTCCTTTTTCCTTTGGAAGCTCCAGTTCCAGGCAGGAGCTGTAAGAGACTCAGTGGCACTTCAGGGAGCTTGTCCAGGGTGCTCACGGTGGGCTTCGCTCACAGAACCTGTTATTGGGAGGGACCTGGTAGGGCTGTGCTGTGACCCCCAGGTTCTCTGCCTGTCCTCAGCTGCCACGTCTTAGCCCATCCCTGGGCTCCACACTGGTCCTCTGGTGTCTTCTGTGTTGATTTCTTCCTCACAGCAAGGCTCTGCTGCAGAGCAAATGGTGACACTGGAGCCTGTTTCCTCAAAGGACATGTGCTACCTATGTTTTTAGCAGGCAGGTTTCTCATCTGAATACCACAGTCACATTCACGACTAGGTTGATTAATAATTTTGATTAAAAAGTAGAGAAGTGGAGTTACCATATGTCCCTTGCAAGGCCCAACCCATCAGGCTCAGGTTGCTTTTAATGAGTGCTGTAAACAGTGCTGTAAATGCTGTAAATAAGTGCTGTTGGGAAAGTGCTTTAAGTGGCTTTGGGCAGGACAGGCTATGCAGCAGAACTTGAGAGTTGTGTTAATATGGGCACGTGTGCTTACTGCCTCGATTTGTAGTAGGGGTTAAACATGAGATGAGGAAGGGCGGAGCAAGATGGCAGGCCAGAAGGATCGTTCAGCTGAGATCTCCTAGAACAACTGGGGGGAAAAAGAGAACCCAGCCATACCTGGTGTGGAGACCTTACCCAGAGTCAAAGCTCTGGGAGCACAGTGAGGAGGTGGTGAGCTGGATACAGCATATGATCCAGACCCGTGGAAATCTGATGAATTAGGCAAGTGATTGGGACCAGCTAGGATTGGCTGGCTGCCCACAGAGGTCCAGGACGGGAGGAAGCCTTTCTAGAGTTTTCAGTTGTTGGGGAAGCTGCATGTTGAGTGGAAAGCTTGGAAGAGTGGGCGGACTTGAACAGTATATAGCAACCAGATTTGAATGCCATTTGGAGTGGATTTGCCATAGGTTTTATAAATGGTGAGGCAGCCATACTGAGAAGGTCTAGGGAAGGGGGCTGCCACTGTGGGAAGGTCGGGAGAAGGTGTTAGCAGGGACCTAAAACAGCTGTCTTAATTCCGCCTGCTGGGATCAGAGCCCCACTCTTAAGACAGACTGAGGGACTCCCGCACCCAACTGGAACTAGAGTCAGGGGGCACTGTGAGACCTGCTCCAGAAGGATTCTTGTGAGCTTTAAGTTCCCAACCTGCAAGGTCTGAATGATCTGGAAATAATGAAGTGATGACAGAAGGCAGCTAAGTTTGGAATAAAGACCAGCCAGGTTGCTGGCTATGCTCTGTCTCCTAAAAAAAAACATCGTACCACGTAGTGTCCCAGTGACATATTGCATTATATTGTCATCAAGAGCAAGGGCTGTTTGAAACAAATGAGGCAGTGAGAAGGAAAAAGGAGGACAAGGAGGTGAACAAGAAGAAAGAACACACGAGCAAGAACCAACAGAAAAATTCAGGCAGTGTGAAAAACCAAAACAGATGAACTTCCCCAAGGGCCCATGAGCCAGCTGCTGCAGAAGACTCCACCTATAAAGAATTAATAAATTTGCCAGGCGCGGTGGCTCGCACCTGTAATTCTAGCACTCTGGGAGGCTGAGGCGGATGGATTGCCTATGCTCACAGGTTCAAGACCAGCTTGAGCTAGAGTGAGACTTCATTTCTAAAAATAGCTGGCGATGTGACAGGTGCCTGTAGTCCCAACCACTTGGGAGGGTGAGGCAAAGAGAATCGCTTGAGCTCAAGAGTTTGAGGTTGCTGTGAGCTCAAGAGTACGAGGTTGCTATGTTCTAGAGTTGCACAGCACTCCACCAGGGGTGACAAAGTGAGACTCTGTCTCAAAAGAAAAGAAATGCACCAGAAAATGGAAAGAGAGAGCCAAAAGTTGGATCAGAGATAGTAGAATATAGAAAAAATATGGCAGAGCTTAAGGAAATGAAGGAGCCAATCAGGGAATGGAAAGATGTAGTAGAAAGTATCAAAAATAGGTTAGACCATGGAGAAAAAAAGAACCTCAGAGCTAAAGGATAAAGTTTTCAAGTTAACCCAGGTAGTTAAAGAGGCAGAAAAGAAGAGAGAAAACACAACAGGTGCTTAGAGGACTATGAGACTCCATAAAGAGTTCAAATATACAAATAATAGAGATTCCTGAAAGGGAATAAGATTGTCCTGAAGGAATGGAGATGATTATAAAGGAAAACTTCCCAAGTTTTACCAAAGACCCCAACACAGTCCTTTCAGATGGATTTTGAACCCCAGGTCATCTTCAACTCAAGCAGAGTCTCTCTACAAGATACATTGTAATGTACCTGTCCAGAGTAAAGATGAAAGAAAAAATTCTGCAAGCAGCCTGGAGTAAGTGGCGACCCACCTACAGAGGCAGAGCCATTACAGTGACAGCAGACTTTTCAACTGTAACTTTCTAAGCCAGAAGAGCGTGATCATCCACCTTCAACCTTCTTAAACAAACAAAATAATTTTCAGCCCAGAATTTTGTATCCTGATAAGCTAAGCTTCAAAATTGATGGAGAACCCAAATCTTCTGTGGACATACAAGCTCTGAGGAAATTCATCACAACAAGACCAGGACTACAGGAAATACTTAACACCTGTTCTCAACAATGAGCACCACAATGGACCACCAACAAAGTAAACACCCAGAAAATAAAGATCAAAATTTAGCTTCCAGAAAGGCACGAAGGGTAAAACAACTACCCAGCAGACTTTCTCAAAATAAGATGAATAGAACTCCACCACTTATCAGTTCTCTCAATAAATGTCAGTAAATAGACTGAACTCACCACTGAAGAGGCATGGCTGGCTGATTGGATAAACAAAGCACAAGCCATCCATTGCTGTCTCAAGGAGGCACAACTAGCCTTGAAGGACAAATCAACACTCACAGGATGAAAAATGGCATTTTAAACAAATGGAAATCAGAAGAAAGGAGGGTTGTAATCTTATTTCCAGATACAAGCAGATTGAAAGCAACTAAAGTTAAGAAAGACAAAGATGGACACTTGGTCAAAGGAACAATGCAACAAGAACACATTTCAACTTTAAATATTTATGCACCCAACTTAAATGCTCCCAGATTTATGAAACAGACCTTGATGGGTCTGAGCAATATGATATCCCATGACACCATAATAGTCAGGGACTTTAACACCCCTCTGGCAGAACTGGACATATCCTCTAAGTGTAAACAAAGATATAAAGGACTTAAATGTGACCTTAGACATATAGAACACACCATCCCAAAGATAAGGAATATACATCTTTCTTGTATATGGACTCTAAAATCAACCACATCCTAGGATAAAAATCAAACCTCAGCAAAAGTAAAAGAATAGAAATTACACCTTGTATCTTCTCAGACCACAAGATAATAAAGGTGGAACTCAACTCCAGCAAAAATGTTCATCCCCACCCAAAGACTTGGAAATGAAACAACCTTATGCTGAATGATAGTTGGGTTCAGGAAGAGATAAAAGAGGAAATCTTTACATTCCTCAGACATAACAACCATGAAGACACAAGTTACCAAAACCTATGGGATACAGCAAAAGCAGTCTTAAGAGGGAAATTTATCACATTAGAAGCCTACATTCAAAAAACAGAAAGAGAGCATATTGACAGCCTTATGAACCATCTTACGGAATTGGAAAAAGAACAACCTAATCCCAAACCCAGCAGAAGTAAAGATTTAACCAAAGTTAAATCAAAGATGAATGAAAGTGAAAACAAAAGAACTGTTTAGAAAATTAACAAAGCAAAAATTTGTTTTGTTGAAAAAATAAATAAAATTGATAAACCTTTGGCCAGATTAACTAGAAACAGAAAAGTAAAATCTCTCATCACGTCAGTCAGAAATGATAACAACAGATGCCACAGAGATGCAAGAGATCGTCTCTGAGTACTACAAGAAAGTCTATGCCCAGAAATTTGACAATGTGGAGGAAATGGGTGGAGGGTGGAGGAACTACAACCTCCCCCTAGTCTTAATCAAGAAGAAATAGATGTCTTGAACAGACTGATTTCAAGAACTGAGATCAAAGAAACAATAAAAAATCTCCCAACAACAACAACAAAAGCCCTGGCCAGTTGGGTTCATACCAGAATTCTGTCAAACCTTCATAGAAGAGCTTATACCCATACTAAAGAAATTATTCCAAAAAATTGAGAAGGAAGGACTCTTCCCCATCATATTCCACAAAGCAAACATCACCCTGATACCCAAACCAGGAAAAGACCCAACTAAAAAGGAAGATTTCAGACCAATTTCACTAATGAATATAGATGCAAAAATTCTTGACAAAATCCTAGCCAATAGATTATAGCTTATCATTTAAAGAGTCATACACCACGATCAAGTAGGTTTCATCCCAGGGATGCAAGGCTGGTTTAACATATGCATAAGTCCATAGATGTTATCCACCATATTAACAGAAGCAGAAACAAAGACCATACGATCTTCTCAATAGATGCAGAAAAAGCATTTGATAAAATTCAGCATCCTTTTCTAATGAGAACTCTGAAGAATATAGGTATAGGTGGCACATTTCTTAAACTGATTGAAGCCATCTATGATAACCCCACAGCTAATATCATATTGAATGGAGTAAAACTGAAAGCTTTTCCACTTAGAACTGGAACCAGACAAGGTGGTCCTCTATTACCACTACTATTCAACATAGTGCTGGAAGTTCTAGCCAACACAGTCAGGCAAGAGAAGGAAATAAAGGGCATCCAGATGGGGCAGAGGAGGTCAGACTCTCCCTCTTTGCTAATGATATGATCTTATGCTTAGAGAACCCAAGACTCCTGGAAGTACTCAAAAAATATAGTAATGTCTTAGAATATAAAATCAATGTCCACAAATCAGAAGCCTTTGTATATGCCAATAACAACAAAGTTGAGAAGCTAATCAAGGACACAGTTCCCTTCACAGTAGCTTCAAAGAAAATGAAATACCTAGGACTATACCTAACAAAAGAGGTGAAGGACCTCTATAAAGAAAATTATGGTCCATGCGCGGTGGCTCATGCTTATAATCTTAGCATTCTGGGAGGCTGAGGTGGGTGGATTGCTTGAGCTCCCAAGTTCCACACTAGCCTGAGCAAAAAGTGAGACCTCATTGCTACCAAAAATAGAAAAACTAAGGCAAGAGGATTGCTTGAGCCCAACAATTGGAGGTTGCTGTGAGCTATGACGCCATGGCACTCTACCCAGAGTGACAGCTTGAGACTCTGTATCAAAAAAAAAAAAAAAAGAAAAAGAAAATTATGAAACCTTAAGAAATAGCAGAAGCTATTAACAAATGGAAGAATATACCATGTTCCTGGTTAGGAATAATCAACATTGTTAAAATGTCTATACTTCCAAAGCAATCTACAGATTCAATGCAATCTCCATTAAAATACTAACATCATACTTTCAAGATTTGGAAAAAATAATTCTTTGTTTTGTATGAAACCAGAAAAAACCCCATTGAGCCAAGGCAATTCTTAGTAATAAAATCAAAGCCGGGGGCATTAGCCTATTAGACTTTAGGCTGTACTACAAGGCCATAGTGATCAAAACAGCATGGTATTGGCATAAAAACAGAGACACAGACATTGGAACTGAATAGAAAACCATGAAATGAAACATCTTATAGCCACCAAACAAGAACATACAGTGGGGAAAGACTCCCTTTTTAGTAAATGGTGCTGGGAGGACTGGATATCCACATGTAAAAGCCTGAAACTGGACCCGCACCTTTTCCCCTCCCTAAAATTGATTCAAGATGGATAAAAACATGAAACAATAAAAATCCTCTTGAAGTTATTACAGTGCGAAATGAGCTAATGAAGACTTCAGCGGCAGTTGCAACAACAATAAAAATAAACAAATGGGACTTAATTAAATTGAATAACTTCTATAGAGCTAAGGAGACAACAACCAAAGCAAATAGGTAAGTGTCAGAATGTGAAAAGATAGTTGCATAGTATGAATTGGACAAAAGCTTGATGACTAGGCTCTACGGAGAACTCAAATTGATGTGAAAAAAGCCAACAATCCCTTATATCAAAAGGTTAGAGAGATGATTACACCCTTTTCTAAAGAAGATAGACAGATGCCTAACGGACATGAGAAAATACTCATCGTCCCTAATTATCTAAGAAATGCAAATCAAAACCACCATAAGATATCACTTAACCCCAGTGAGAATGGCCCACATCACAGAATCTCAAAGCTGCAGATGCTGGCGTGGATGTGGAGAGAAGGGAACACTTTTACACTGCTGGGGGGACTGCAAAGTAATACAACCTTTTTGGAAGGAAGTATGGAAAATTCTCAAGAACTCAAATTAGACTTTCTAGTTGATCCTGCAATCAATCCTATTACTGAGCATCTATCCAGAAGAAAAAAAAAATCATTTTATCCTAAGGACATATGCACTAGACTACTTATTGCAGTTCAGTTTACAATCGCCAAACTGTGGCAACAACCTAAATGCCCACCACCCCAGGAATGGAGTAACAAGCTGTGGTGTATGCATGTCATGGAATACTATTCAGCCACTAAAAAAGATGGAGACTTTACATCTTTTGTATTAACCTGGATGGAACTGGATCACATTCTTCTTAGTAAAGTGTCACAAGAATGGAGAAACAAGATCCAACATACTCAGTTCTGACCTAGTACATGTTAGGGGGTGGGGGAATGGGGGAGCTGAGAGTGATGGAGGGAGGGGGTCGGGGGCTCACGGTGTGTGACCCATCTCTTTGAGGCAGGACATAGTTATAAGAGGACTTTACCTAACAAATGCAATCAGTGAAACCTGGTTCTCTGTACGCTCAATGAATCCCTGACAATTAAAAAATTAAAAAAAAAAAAAAAAAGAGATGATGTAGGGAGCCCCAGAGGCATAAGGGGGTTGATCTGGTCACTCCTGTGTCTGGGCAGCAGCTCTTCCCCTGCAGTTTATCACAGGGCCCCGAACTGTGGCTTTGTTGTCATGATTCCCAGCCTGACCTCTCACCTCTTCTCTGAGAGCAGGGTGCACTGAGGTGGCCCTGGGCTGACTCTGACTTGGTGCTGTGTCACTGTGCCTGCTTGTCGGCTGAGCACATGGTCTGGTCAGGTCCTGAGCCAGAGGCAGGCTCATGGGCCTTGGTGGGTGTGGACACATGTGGGAGTCAGAAGTGTGTGGCAGGGCAGTCTGTCATCCATTGGGGTGATATGTAGCTTCTCTGAAGACCCAAGAGGGAGGGGGTCTGGTAAATCAAACCAGAGGTCTATTTGCCTCCTCAGAGCTGGCATGTGAAGAGCACCAGTATCGAGGTGGCTGTAGGGGAGGTGAGTGCAGTGAGCTCCTGGGCTGGAGAGTGGCTGTGCCAGGCAGAAGGGGGCAGCTGTGGGTCGGTGTGAGCCAGAGAGGCTGGCCAAGAGAGGTTTGACCTTTACTAACATAAGGAACAACCTCAGAAAGTGAGACACTTGACAGGACTTGTGTTTTAGAAAGATCTCACTGCGAGCACAAGTGGCTGGTGTCAGGAAGAGAGGCGGGCTGATGGGGAGGCTGCTGTGACTTGGAGAGAGCCTGATGTGAGCCTGAGCCAGTGTGGCTTACGGGAGTGGAGGAGGGGCTTCCAGGAAGGGCTGGGCGGAGGAGGGCAGGGTCAGCCTGCAGACTGGGTCCTCACCGTTCTCAGAAGACGGGTGTGTCCTTGGCAGGTGCTGCGGGGAACCAGTGCTTCATTCTGGCGCACAGGTGTAGGTGTCGGACTTCGGGAGCAGGCTGGGGGCAGTTCAGGGTTATCAGCATCCGTGTGGTTCTTGAAGCCAAAATGTGGATGAGGCCACCTGGGAAGAGGGTGAGGAGTGCGCAGTGGCGGCAGGGGGCCCTGAGTAGGGAGGCTCTGGGGAAGGGGCAAGGAGACCTGAGGACCCAGTGGCCCAGGGCATATGTGCTGCAGTGGGGACAGGTCACTCACAGCATCTGTCAGCCTAGGACACCGAGGGAGCCATAGACCCCTGGCCTCGGCACAGCTGTGGGAGCTGTGCCCATGAGCCCGGCAGGGGCTGATGCCTGAGCGGCCTCACTGTCATGTCTGTGGTGTCTGCTGAGGACCCAGCAGCTCATCTTTCAGAGTCATTTGGGCCTGGTAGGGCCCTGGTTGGTGGGCTAGCTGACCCCAGAGCCTCCATCATCCACTTGACAAAGCAGGCCTGAGTGCAGGAGCCGTGCAGAGTCGGTGTTGTGTGTCAGAGCCTCTGCACATCCGGGCTTGGCCCGGCGCAGGCCAGCTAAGGGGGGCTGCAGCCAGAGCTGGCCCACGGCCGACAGGCCTGCTGTGTGTCCTGTAGGGTGCATGTCATTCTGCTGACTTTCTCCTTTCTCTGCAGCTTACGGTTATTCCAGAAGTTTGACACATTCCGGATTCTGGTTTGTGGTGGGGATGGCAGCGTTGGCTGGGTCCTCTCTGAAATCGACAGCCTCAACCTGCACAAACAGGTACTGGCCGTGAGTAGCCCAGCTGGGGAGTGGGCGCAAGTAGTGAGGTCACAGGGTCTCAGCTCCCTTGCTTCCCGGAGCGCCTCTTCTCAGGGGCCAGTGGGGCTCTGGAAGTCGTGCAGATTGTGGCCTGGGAGGACAGCCCAGTGGCCCAGGGCCCTTTGTCATGTGTGAGCAGGAAGTTCACAGTTATATGTAGAGGGCTCTACAGAAAGTATAGTCCTCCAGGGACTCAGGTCAGAGCAGGTCTAGGGGGCTGTTGCCCCTCCTGTCCCCCTGCTGGCTCTTTGTTGGGTACTGATTTATGGCTTCATGCCTCTTGCTTGTCAGGAGGGGACAAAAATGAACTTCTCAAGTCAGAATTATGGGCCACCAAACTTAGTTTTTTATATTAAAATAAAAATAGATTTTCCTGCCTTGTCTGTCCCAGCCACCACTCTCCCAGGTAATTAGCCACAGCTAACACTTGGCCGATCAGCTGTCCGTTAGACCACATGCAGAGGAATGCTGGTGCTGCTGTGACTCACATGGACCACAGTACCCTGCTATTCTGTTACTGCACTTCACAGTCACTGGTGTGTCGGAGACACTGCATTGGCTGTCAGTGGGGGTCTGTGTGGTGGTTTTCCACTCGGCTTGCTCACCCCCTCTGCCAGGGGTGGACCCCCTCTGCCTGGGGCAGCTGTGGTGAAGCCTGCGGCTTCCCTTTTACTCTCTTTTGAAGCCACTGGATGTGAGTATGGACGTGCCTCACCATGACCTCACCAGGCTGGGCTGCTTCATGCCCCTGGTGCTCACAGAGCTGACCTTTCCCCCACACTGTCAGGTGCTCAGCTCTTGAATTTTTGCCTAAGTAGACAAGAAAAAAAATACCTTTTTTTTTTTTGGTTTTGTTTGCTTGTTTTTGTTTTTGAGACTAGAGTCTCAAGCTGTCACCCTGGGTAGAGTGCCATGGCGTCACAGCTCACAGCAACCTGCCAGCCTCCGTGTATGTGGCCGGCATCCTACCCACTGCGCCATGAGTGCTGCCAAAAGTGCTTATTTTGATTACTTTAATTACTAGTGAAGTTGAACATCTCAGTTGATTATGAAGTTTTAAATGAATCACTTATTCATGTTTTCTTGCCTCATTTTCTCTGGGGAATACACTTTCCTTTTTTAAAAGGATTTGACATCTAAGGATTATTGTTACGTTAACTCCTTATCTGTTATTGTAGGCATTTCCCCCCTAGTTTGTCATTTGTCTTCAATATACTTGGTTTATTTTTGTCTTTTTCTTTAAGATTTTTGTCATGTTGAAAAACTTAACCAATACTCCAGATTATGAAAGATTTGTATTGTTATGATTTAAAAAAAAAAAAAAACAATCCCAGTCTCCTGTGTGACCTGTATGCATTTTCCAGTGATTTTGCGTTCTCTCCCCAGCTCCGCCCTCCTGCTGGCATTTATAGTATTGGACTCCAGGGTGGGGGCCGCCCTGGGGCGGGCTGGCCTGACCACGGGCCAGCTGCTCAGGACAGGGAGACAGCACCACCTGGTGGTGGGTTAGAGTGGTCCACGCAGAGCCTGCTTTGTTGATTTCCTGGATCATTTACAGGTTTACACTGGCTGGTTGGGAAGACAGCGAAACCTTGTGGTTCTTTTTGTCCTTGACCATTATCTCCTTTCATTTCTCTGTGGCATGTGATGCTCCAGCCATCCCCTCTGTAGGACCACAGCCCCCTCAGTGTTTCTTCTCTACCTGGCTGCCCTGTCTCAGTAGGGACATCTCCCTCCTTGCCTCCTCTGGAAGTCGGCGTCCTCAGCGTTGCTAAGCCTCTCCTCCTCCACACTCTTCCTGAGAGCTCAGCCACTCGCAGGGTTTTCCCTGCCATCTCCTGGAGGAGCTGCAGTTTATAGCTGAGCCCCAGGCTCTCTGGCTGTCTCGGGCTGCCATAAGCTTCCAACACCAGCTCTCGCCTAGCCGCACCCACGTTCCTTTGCTTGAGCCTGAGGACATTATGGTGCAGATGTCTGGGCTGGAAATCTTATGGCGGTTACTTATTCCACCTTCTCCCCCAGTCTTTCTCACTAACTGCTGGGTTCAGTCAGTCGCCTCATATTCCCTTGCCTGCTGCCATATCCCCAGCCACCTGCATGCTGTGGCTATGCCGAGTCCCTGGCTTCCTTCCCTCTGTAGCTCAGCCACTGGCCTTCCTGGGGCAGTTCTACCCACATGTCCCCCTGGCATTCTGTGGTGGCTTCTCTGGCTTCAGGAAAGGTCCTCAGAGCCCCAGATTTGGCTCTGCCTTGCTTCTCTGTCATCCTCTTTCCTCCCTGCCCTCCTTGCTGAGCTCTGACTTGCTCCTTCACACTGTGTCACCTTTCTACCAAGAATACCACCTGCAGCCGCTCCTTTTCCCGTACACCTCCAGGATGCCCTTACTGAGGCTCCTGCCCTTCTGGGTACCCATCAGTGCTGGGCTCTCTCCATCTGTGTTCCAGGCTCTGCTGCCCTTTCAGGCCAGGCAGGACTGTGTATGTTTGCCATCCCCACACAAGGGCAGGGCCTTTTGTAGGTTACTTGCAGCTGATGAGCGGAGGGCCGTGTGAGCTGCAGGGAGGACTGTAGGCCTCTTGGCCCCGCTGGTCACTGTGCTGTCCAATTTGAAGGCTGGAGAGCTCTGGGGCAGCCAGTTTCTGGGGGGCCTCCTAAGCACTGAACTGGTGTAGTAAGGATTCTGTGGTCACCTGTCCTCAGGGAAGCTGGTGAGGGAATCAGGGACTTTGGGATGGGAATTCCATGTGGGGGATGAGGTCTGAGCGATGTACAAGGTCTGTCTGGGGAATGGCAAGTAGGTGTGTGTAGATGGAGCCCTAAGTTCTGCCCAAGTGTGATGTTCAAACTGTGAATGGTCCTGGTGTCATTTTTGATAGCATTTAGAAGCCACTGAAGTTATTTTTAGAGGAGTAAAATAATTCTTAAGTGATGCTTTTGAAAGAAGAATTTGGCATTAGTAAGATACTATAGTGGATGGGGAGACAGCTGGTGGGGAGTTAACAGAACAGACCTTCAGGGTCATGATTGTTTCAGTGGACATAGGAAGGAGGGGGATTTGGGGAAGTAGATCAGAGAGGTCCGCAGCTGAAAGACGTGGGAGAAGGAGGGGCAATGACGCTGCATTTTCTGTTGGATTACAGAGACTGTCCTCTCTGGTGGGCTCTGCCTGTAACACACAAGTCACATGATTTTAGACAAGCTCTCTCACTAATTCAGCCACTGTTGTAGGTAACTAGGAGGCCTACTAGGGGATGGCTCTTCCTCCCTGGGTGCGTGAACACCTGCTCCGTGCTGTTTCTGTAGTGCCAGCTGGGAGTGCTGCCACTTGGAACTGGGAATGACCTGGCGCGGGTGCTAGGCTGGGGCTCGGCCTGTGATGACGACACCCAGCTGCCCCAGATCTTGGAGAAGCTGGAAAGAGCCAGCACCAAGATGCTGGACCGGTGAGTAGGACACTTCTCTGTGCCATATGGGTGGGAGGTCTTCTGAGAGAGAAGCCACCTTGACCAGCACTTTAAATCTGCTTCTTAATCTGTGGCAAAGTTATTTGTAAAAATTTAACCTGAGCATATATTACTTTTTCTGGTAGTGTTTGACTATTTTGTCAGACTATAAAAAGGATAAAGACAAAGGTTAAGAAACAGGCCTTAGAATGGCCAGCCTTTCTCGTGAGGCCAAACCTGAGTGTGCCGGGGGCACCTCAGCCCAGCCTCTGATAACCCACCAACAAAGGAGCAGTTCTGTCTCCCGTGTTCTGTCTCAGAGGCGGTTCTGGGTAATCATCCTCTAGTGCTTAAAGATACCCCTTGGTACCCTCCCTGAGTGAGCTGTGTGGATACCCATGGAACACTGCCCCCGCCACCCCCAGGACCCTGGACCTCCAATTACGGGTGGGTTTACAATGGCCCCACCTTTCCACAGGCCCCTGAGTTGCTCATGTGGCCAGCTCTTGGAAGGAGGGTATAGGTCTGCCCTTGGGGGTTGCCTGTCCTGCACCTGTTCTGTGCCTGCTTGCAGCAGGTGGAGCTGACTTGAGCTGACCTCATGCTGTGCAGGTGGAGTGTCATGGCATACGAGACCAAACTACCCCGGCAGGCCTCCTCCTCCACCGTCACCGAGGACTTCAGTGAGGATTCTGAGGTACACCAGGCTGCTGTCCGCAGCACTGCCCGCCTAGTGTCTCTCTGCCTCCCTGCCCTCTGGACACTCAGGGTGAACCCCAGGCTGAGCTGGAGGCCGAGTGGTTCTCACCCTCTCCTTCGGGCAGAGGCTTTTGGCCTTTGTGATGTCTGGGGGTTTCCTGGGGTTGGCACTGGGCTTGGAGGGCTTCCCGCTCTCCCAGCATGCCCCAGTCAGCTCCTCTGACCCTTGCATGGTCTTGCTGTTTCCTGCTGCTCCTGTGTACCTGGAGCACCCTGTCGTTCCCCAGGCTGCCACCTGTCCCATCTCCCCTGTGACATCCAGAGCTGCCCCTTGTATCAGCCTACTCTAGTTCAGCTTTGAGTTCTTTCTGTTGGGTGGTGGTTACTGTTGAGGTTTAACTATTATGCCCTCTTCGGGCATAGATGCACTTTGTCTCGTTGGCTGTAGACCTGTGCTGCGCAGGACTAGCCATGCTCAGGGCCATTGGGTGAGCAGGCGGGTAGGCGGGCAGCTGGCAGCTGTGTGTGAGCCAGGCTCTGGCCAGGGCAGTCCATGGTCAGCAGGGCTGGGCGACTGGGAAGAGAGAAGCTAGGGCAGCAGTCATGGGGCCTTGTGAGCTGGGAAAGCGGTATATGTGTTTTGAGTTGCTTTTTGTTTGTTTTTTAGAGGATGGATAAATATGTGTGGAGAGGCCTATCTGGCCATTAGGAAAGTTTGTTGATGCCTGGGTTAGGTCCTAGGGAGAAGTTATCACACCCCCACAGGTTTAGAGCTCAGCAGGTAGAGGCCTGAGGTGATGAGAGTGACTTACACTGAGAGAGACTTCACTGGCAGCTAGATGGGTGAGGCCTCCTCTGCTGTGAGCCTGCCTGCCAGTGGGCCACCCACCATGGGGATGACATGGGATTAGAGGCAGCATTCCTAGCACAGGCTGGTGAGGTGATCCCGTACCGAATGCTTGTAAGCTGCTAGTACATTTCCATATCTTTTTCTTTGTTGAGATTCATCTTTTCAGTTTGTCCACAGTTTGGTGAACCTTCTGAACTCTCTCCCAAAGCCCTAGTGAACCTCGGGTTGGGATTTGGAGTTGAGGTTTTGCTTGGCGCGACAGTGCCTGTTAAGAGAGAGTTATGGTCACCTGTCCAGAGAGAAGCTGGTGAGGGAATCACGGGGACTCAGTGTTGTGAAGCTTTCTGTCACAGAGACTAACAGGCCCCCACCGTATTTTGGGGAGATTGCAGGTGCAGCAAATTCTCTTCTATGAAGACTCGGTTGCAGCCCATCTTTCCAAAATCCTGACCTCGGACCAGCACTCGGTAGTGATCTCCTCGGCTAAGTAAGTGCCCAGCAGTCATGGGAAAGGTGGGGCTCAGGCAGGTGGGCACTGGGTCCCAGCCTGGAGCCATCTCTCTAAACATGTCTTCTGTCTCCCCGCCCAGAGTGCTCTGTGAGACGGTGAAGGATTTTGTGGCCCGGGTAGGGAAGGCCTATGAGAAGACAACTGAGAGCTCGGAGGAGTCAGAGGTCATGGCCAAGAAGGTTGGTTCCCGGGCAAGGGGCGGGGATGAGGGGGCGTCACGACACGGAGAAGGGCGCTCTGCATGCTGCTGTGCTCCTTGTCCAGTGCTCTGTCCTGAAGGAGAAGCTGGACTCGCTTCTTAAGACCTTGGACGATGAGTCCCAGGCCTCATCCTCACTGCCCAACCCACCCCCAACCATTGCCGAAGAGGCTGAAGATGGTGATGGGCCTGGAAGCATCTGCAGCTCTACCAGGGACCGCTCAGTGGCAATGGCCTGTCCAGCTCGACCTCAGATATTCCGGCCCCGGGAACAGCTCATGCTAAGGGCTAACAGCCTGAAGAAAGCCATTCGCCAGATTATAGAACACACAGAGAAAGGTACCTTCCAGCCTACCTTTGCCTGATCCTCCCTCTGGTCTCCTGGTGAGAGCTGGCTTTCCTTAGGCAAGCACTGGCATTCACAGTGTTCCCTAGAGTGTGGTAAAGGAAGGGAACACGGGAAC